ATTCCTAAAAAAAAATTGTAATATTTTGAGTATAACTATTTTCTTTAATACACAGTTTGTATGTGATCCATCCATCTCATTTTAAAGTTTGCCTTGTACGAATGTAAATATGTCTATGCAACTAAGTGCATTTGCAACTACAATAAAATGTTATATTAAGACAATTTATTCTTACTCAAGCAGTAGTGACGGTCATTCAGTTTTAACTAGCCATCAATTTACAAAAAAATAGCAAGTGATTCAGTGATATTATGGAGAATACTGGGAATACATGACTAAAAAATACGGTGTAATAACAGTTATTATTAAAAATTAATAATCCTTGATTTAGAGAAACACAAGTTATGGAAAATATTTCAAGAAGCAACTAAAAATAGTGTTTGATCCAAAGTGATTTTTTTTTATTCTTCAATTGCAGTTGAAAATTATTTAAGTAAACGCGTAGAAATTAAATTTATTTTCAGTTTTAGCATTTAATCATTACTTGAGTCACTTTAGTACCTATTCATGTAATATTATTTAACATCCTGACTCGTTGCTACGCACAATTCATTCATCTTTCGAAGTAAAGTGGAGAAATTGATATTTAAGCTAGAGATTATATAATAATGTAGAGAGATAGCGAAAAATGAAATACATTTGAAGCTGCAGAAAAGAACATTGAAAAGAAAGCAATTTTCCTTAAACTATCATTAAGAAGCATTTGTAGTGTTCTAATATTTACATAAGTTAAGTATCTTAACAATTATTTGGTTTAATTTTGACATAGAAAGCGGTAATTACTGTTTATTATCGTTTGTTTCTAGAAAACTTCAATAATTAATCGCACCCAGACTTTGCAAACCCTTTTTAAAGTATTTTACTTTAGTTGAAATGTTCAAAATCAAATTTTAAGTGACTTATAAAACAAATTACTAACATTCCTTATTATATTCACTTGTTACAGTTTTGTGTTGGATTTCTTTTAGTGTTTTTCGTTCCATTTAATACATTTAGTTAAAGGTTTTCAACCTTTCATATAAGTTTTTTATTATTATTAGTGCACYTACTTAGAATATTGCTTTAAAGAGACAGAGGAATCAATTCGTAAATATTAAAAAAAAAAAAGAAATAGAGGGGAAAATTGGCAACAATTTAATTTTTGCTTTGCTTAAGGGGTTATATAATCTAGAATTTAAAAAAAAAATCGAATTTCATATCATTGCAGTGAAAATTTTCCAAGTTACACGCAAATTTGAGAAGTCGTCTTTCATCCTATGCAAAGTGCATTCCAAACTTTATGAATATGTTTTTTATAAACAATTTAAGGCCGAAATTTTGGTCAAAAATCGATTTTTATTGAAAACCCGTAATTTTGTCAAAAAATTTTATTTTGTTTATTCCTTCAATTATTTATTAGATTTAACATTACTTTAACGAAATCTATTCGGTTTTTCAATTTCGGAGAATTCAGTTCAGAGATATAGTGGACATCGGAAAATGTCTTTTTTGAGACAGTTTTCGGAGATCAGCTTTAGTTTCTTTCCAAATACATATTTAGTAAGTCTTAAGAAATAGTTAAAATATACCAAAATACTATATGTATACATATTACACAACAAAATTCTTCTAAGTTCGTTTTGTTCGTTTTTGGAATTCATTAGGTCATTGTATGGTGAACTATAATAGAACACGCAGAACAAAGTTGATCGTGATCAGGTCATTTATCTCCGAGTAATTGTTCACGCAAATTTGAAAAATGTAGTTTTGAGAAAAAAAGGTAAACTGATAGAGCTGACTTTACTAAGAGCTCAAATACTATTTCAGATATCGGTTTATTAGATAGTAAGGTATTTTTAAAGATGAAACCTCTGAAAATATTCAACATTTTCAAATGTTTTACTTAAATAGTGAAATTTGCAACCTCTGGAATGCACACAATACTTCAGAAGCATTTATTCTCAGCTCACATTTCATTTAAAGTCATGTATTAGACAAAAATTTTTCTTAAAATTACAAACATTTTGATGGAAGTTTCGAAAATAATTTGTGGCCAATTATTGTTAAAAGCACCAGTTTCACAACTGCAAAAATGGTTAATAAAAAAAAGCAGCATAATCAATATTCTAGCATAAGTGCACATTGTTTTTTTTTATAATTTTCATCGTTTTCAGCTTATAAACAAATTTAGTTAGCAACATTATGTTTAGTTTAAGTAGTATATTTAGCGTAAAATAAGCAACTACAAGACCACTACTTAGAAATACATACATACTAATTTAGATGCAGGTGTGTAGAATAGTTTAGTTGGAGCAACTATAAATGACGGGGTTAGGATAAAGAGAGGTCGTACATATTTTATATATTATATGAATATGTTCGTTATTTTCAAAGTTTATTTTTTTTTTTTGCAAACGCGCATTGAAGTTTTTTTTTTTTTGCCTTAAAAATTATCTAATGAGAACAATATCTTTATTGTCATTTTAAACTGTACCTAAATCACTTTACTTTCGCCAAAAATTTACATGCGATTTTTAGATCTTTTGCAATACATTTTTTTTAACTTCAAAGAAAACAAATCTACAAAATTTACGGCTCTACAAAGTTCTAAATAATTTTTTTTGAAACTAAGTTGAAAACTAAGAGTTTGTAAAGATGGATTTTTCATGGCAAAAACTGAAACTTCAAGAGACGTTTGCAAAAAAAAAAAACCATCCTAAAATTTTTTGAAAATAACAGATATTGTATATACAACCACGTTAAATCATAAAGATTTACTGTTGCACAAAGTTTATGCCTTTTAAACGACAAACAAAAAACAAAAAAAAAAAATATTTTGCAGTATCTCCATTTCTTAAACTTTAAACATTTCTTACACAAACTGTACCGTTCGACTTGCATACATATATAACAATTATATTTTCTAAATTTCTTTCATATAAACTATTAAATAATTTTGGTTTGTGTTAGGTACCTGCGACTACAGTAAACCGAGCTACAGCTGTGTGAAAATTGAATTGCAGCGTTTAAAGCAGTTTAAGCACAAAATATTGTAGATAAAGTCAAAGCTTCTTGTAGAGTGCTTTAAGGTTTTTTTTTTGAATACCGTTATCATTTGCTGCTAGAGACTTTTTACTTCTACCACGTGATTTTATTTAGCAAGCAGTTTATACACCTGTTGACGTCTTCATTTATCGCACAATTTGCCTTAAAATATGGCTTGTGTTGTAACTACAATTTACGACATGTTTTATGTCATTTTTTAAATCTATTTTAAAATACTGCTGTCTTATTAGAGCTCACTTGTCTGTTTTGTGCTTTTCAACATCTTAAATTTTAGCTGTTTACTTTGTGCTTTGCAATTTTTAGTATTTTTCAGTCAATTTTCACTTCGGTTTTTTAAAAACGATTTTCATGTAATTTAATGACAAATTATGTAGCTTTTTCTATACATACATATAGTTATGTGTGTATGTATGTTAATTTTAATTAAGCTTAATTACACTCGAAAACCTTTACACATACATATGTAATAACAAATGAATAACAAATTTGAGGCATTTACGAGTATGAGTTGGGTTTGCCTTAATTGTAATTGAGTTTTAAATTTTTCTTTAGTATTTGTCTCTGGTTTTATGTTTCATATTTATATTCGTTTCCTGTTTTTATTTTAATTTTTAATTATTTGTTTTGTTGTTTTTTTTTCTTTTTGTTTTTCATACATTAAACCAGTGTTATTAAATTTAGTGGATTTAGTGTTTGTTTTTGTTGCCTTAAGCATGGAAGTGTACTGGTGAAGCGCACACAACCGTTAAACCGTACACACCTGCTTGCACTTTGTAAAGCTTTAAAGGTGGACTTATCTAATGCGTGTGCGTGGACCTGTGTGTACAGTTTAGAAGTTCTGTTTAGTGCATATAGTACATAGCTGGGTGGCTTGTTGGCCGTCTACATTTACATTATTATTATTATTAATATCTATTGTTTGCATTATTAATCTAAACAATTATTTTTTAAGACATTTCAATTTTTTAGTTTGTATTTTTCATTTAAAATATTTTTTTTTTTAATCTTTCGCTCATTTTAGGGTTGTATTTCACTTAAACTTTTTTTTCAACGTTGTATTAAGGGGTTATATACCGCAAATGGTTTCGGATATAGAAGCGTAGTTGTAAGAATTTTAAACGGGTTTTCTCAAAACACTGTTTTCAGAGTCGGTGAGAATTTTTTTACGGATTTCATGTTTATACAGACATATATTATTTTTTATTTCGTCTCAGACGTTTCCTGCTATGTGTTACAAACTTCTTGGCAAACGAATATAGCCATTTTGACAAAAAATCAAAAAGTCCTTCGATTAATATTCGTATTCAGATAATAAAAAAAAGAATATTTCTAAATATTTTTGAATATTTTTTAATAAAAAAATATTTCTAAATATTTTTGAATATTTTTTTTTACTCAGGATTGAGTTAATTGGCGTGTTCTTGGAGACCGACAACCGGAGCAAGCAAATTCATTTTTTTCAAAATGAATCATCGATGATTAAAGTACAACAAATTCTGTAAACGCACGAAATCTATAAATTATTTATTTAGTAAAAAAATTCCTAAAACGAATCACAAAAATCGCATTCTTTCGGACTTGCAAGTGGTTATAACCCCTTAAATCTTTGCATTTGCACTTTTCCATGTTTTGGCGCCTTTCGCTTAAACCTTTCATTGTTCGTTTATATTATTTTTTTTAGTTTTTTTTTATGTTCAATAAAACTATTTTGATTTATAACTGTGTTTAGCATGCCATCTTTTTAGTATTATTCGTTATTATTATTAATTATTACTTGTAATCATTAAGTTCCTGTTTGAATTTGAATTTCTCTTTTGGCTCTTAATATTATTCACACTCATACATATATATATATATATATAAATACTACATACAATGTTTATTTTTGATGCGTTTTTTTTATTTTTGTTTTTTTTTCAGCTCAATAACTTTTCAAATTCCAAGCTTTGCCCGCATATACACACAAATAGATGTATGTATATACAAGTGTGTGTGCATTACTCTTTACAACTGTTGCTGGCATTGTTAACTTATTGCTGTGGGTCCTTGCAAAACGAGCAAGATTTCGCTTCATCAATAGCAGCGCCCCTCACTGCCTTCTGTTCGTTGCGCTTTGCTGTTTGCCACCTGATATTTCCTAAACACTTTTTATGTGGGATTCAAACATCACACCGTTATTAGCATTCGTGCTCATTTCCTACTGAAATCTATTGCTTCCGCGAGCCTTGGAGTTATTGGCTAGAAGTCAGCAAGGCAGTAAGACAGACAGGCAGCATCACTCATTCGCTTTGAAGCATTAATTCGTGGTGGCTCATCTTCAGGCAGCGCGTCTTGTGTGGTGATGGCGGTCGCCCAGTTCCTACATGTATGTATGTATATTGGTGGTGTCAATGTTGTTGGCATGTGGTGGCGTGCGGTGGTATTTGTTGCGGTGTGTGGTCTCTTACAGCACCGTCTCCATTTCCGCAATTTCCGTTTTGTAAGACCTTAATGAATACAATTTATTATTAGATTTTAAGAAAAATGGAAAACATGTAAAGGCAAAACGCTAACGGCTTAGCCACATATTGATTATTAAGGTTGGGCGCGTGTCGTGTTGTTGTTGGTGGTAGTGCTGGTGTTGTTGATTAAACATAACTGGGTTGTGTCATCGCCTATGCATTGAGTGACTGATGTGCTTACTGACTGGGTGACTGACTGACTGACTCACATGGCTGCTGTGTCTGTGTGAGTTTATTTGTTTGTATTTGCATGTTTTCAAAGTCTCTAACTGGCTGGCTGGATGCCTCAACTTAAATCATATATGTATGTATGTACCAATACATATGTACGTGTGTCTCTGTTGAAGGATTAGTAAGCCTGTGTGTACCCTCATCTCCGCCATTGTTCATGTGTATCTCTCTTTGTTCGCTCAGGCCAATTTGCCTATTCGTGAAAATCGTTGTGGAAATGTTTTGATTGATGGCCTATTTGGCTGGCCATGTGTGTGTATGTTGTCAGTGGTGGTAATGAAACTGATGGATTTGCGGCTTTTTTGCATTTGCAGTATTTTTTTTTTTTTTTGAGGGAAACGCGCATATTTTTTCGTAATATTTTGCATAAATGATACTACAAGTGTAGCTATGTATTATTACGGTGGTATGGGTGCATCCACAATGTGTATTGCAAACCAATTGGCTTGTGTTTATATTTTTTGCGTAAAGTTGTTTCAAATTACGTAGTGCAAACACGGGTAGACAGATTAAATGATTCAAAATGTGTTTTCCTTGAAAATTAACTATTAACTTTTTCGTATAGTATAGAATGATGTGTGTGTCATGAACGTATACAGTTGTGTTTATTGAAATAGCAGCGGAGTAGAAATGAAAATATGTAGATTTTTTTTGCATATTCCCTTTCGTTAGGTAATCGCTAGCTGCACTGCTGTTTCAATGAACGCATATATACCTATACATATGTATGTATGTATCAGATATTATACTCCTAAGTATATGAAATAGCCATTGTGTATAAATGAAAAAGTATGAAAAGTTATTATATTTCTACATGTACCATACACATAAAATATAATTTTAAATTCTTTTGTTTTAAAATTTAATTTAAAGCAGTTAATTGAAATTTCATGCTGAGCAATCTGATTTTGCACATATATATATGTATATATATACAAACATTTTATGCATAAATATTATGTTAAAATAAATACAAAAAAATATAACATTTAAACTAAACATAATTTTCATTTACTTTTTTCCAAATGCATAAATAACCACTTGTAACTTGCAACAATCAAATCCAAGGAAATACCTTAAGGGGATAGATGGCTTTCAAAAAATCGAATTTTTTATTGTCTTATTGTCGAGCAATAGTTTCGAAGATACAGCCTTTATAGATAAGTGCACCGTTTTTAAACGCGTTTTTCTCGAAACTGTGTTTTTGAAGTCGTTTGGCAAGATTTCTCGAGCACTACTACCGATCTTCATGACATTTTCACAAGTCTTAGAGATGCAATTCTTAAAGACATGCACGAAGAACTTTTTTTCAATTAAAACTGTTTAAACAAAAAATGTCGCGAAATTTTCACAGGAATTTTAATTTTTTCTAAAAATGTCTGCCAGAAATCCAATTTTCAGTTTTTTTCATTTTTAGATCGTCCTGTAAGGGGTCACCAAAAATGGTCTCGCAATGGCCGAGTTTAAAATACTATTTTCCAAAAATTTTAGATCTCGATAATAGTTCTTATAATAATTGAGCTGTGTAAATTTAGTTTTTGAAGCTTTAGTGGTTTAAAGGACATTTACATTAAGCTTATTAAGGGGCTACTGCGATCACCTGTGCCAAATGACAGTTTAATTCTTCATTTAGTGCTTAGTTATGGCATTTTATAGGTTTTTTGTTGCGTTTTGTGGGAGGGACAGTGATTCGATTACGCCCATCTACGAACTTGTAATTTTGTTGTACTAAGTTTCATCAATATATCTCAATTTTTACTCAAGTTACAGATTGCGCAGGCGGACAGACAGACAGTCATCCGGATTTCAACAAGTCAGGTCATCATGATCATTTATGTATATACATAGGGCAATATATATCTCGATTAGTTTTAGGTGATACAACCATTAGGTGAACAAAACTACTCTGTAGTAACATGTTGCAAGAGATTTTGAAGATAAAAACAAGATTTTGAAATTTACGAACAAAGTCTTGCTATTTTTTGCTCATAGTAGTAAAACGTTCAAAAGAGGGTATACAAATAAAAATAGAAATACAAAATTAAATAATAAGGGTTTTCGCTTGCTCGCCTAATACAACGACACAACAACAAACACACGCAGAAAAATATTTGCAAGGGCTGTAAAATATGCCAGACCAAAACCCATGTATATTTGCAAAAATGTAATGGCAACTCTGTGCTAGCTGTCATTTTTTTACTTAAATATATTACATATTTTGACGTTAACTTGTCGAGGAAGGTGAATTTTAAGTAGATTTTATAATTTCTATTTTAATCATAAAGATTTGTTACAGTTTTTTTGTTAAGAATGAATGCAATTCACAGTAGTCATGCACAATAGTTTTTTGACTTGTAGAATCAAACTGTTTGATTTGCATGATCAAACGTTACAACTTTAGATTCGTACCATTGGTGGGGGGAAAACAAAGACCTTATTCAAGCTGAGAAAGCATGTTGTGTAGAGTTGATTGAGGTTTGCTTCAAAAATTAATTGCTTGGGTTATCTAGCTTCCTTTTACTTATTTACTCCAAAAAATATTAATTTATTCACTTTTTAGGAAACTATTTCTTTAAAAAGTTTCATTATTTCGACAAGTTATTCTTTTACCAGAACCTTACTTATGCAAATTTTCAAGGTAAAACAAATTAAATTTATCTTATGTTAAATTCTATAAAAGATGCATGTTTAAAAATGTATACCTATATTTTGACCCTTTTGTAGAACCGCAGGTAAAATGGTCAATACCAAGCATCATGGAAGAACAATGAAAGCAATTAAGTTGTGCCTTTGTTAATCAAACTACCTGGCTACCGAGCTCTTTAAAAATTTTAACAAAAATCAAGGCTTTTTAGTATAAAAAGGAAACAACTTTCCGAAGTTAGCATAGTCAGGTTCAGTCATTCAACAACATAACATCTCATCGAGAGCTACTCCGTTCTTTTTACGCAATTTCTCTGATACTTTAGTTATTCTAAACATGGGTGGAATACAATCAAGGAGGCGCGATTCATATATGCAAACAGCACCAGATGCATATGGTAAAACATATATTGAAGAACCTCTAAGAAGTAACGCATTTAAAGACAAGCCGGTTGACGCTGATTCACCAGCCAAGAAGAAAATTGTTTTAAGTGCCCGTTCAGTTAAGCCACGGCAGAAACGTCAAAAACGCGATTCTACTCTTTCAATATGGAATCCACGTACTATTTTAACACTAAAGGAGGAGAATGCCGCTTCGCAAGATATGACAAATGCAGCGATCGATCAGCATACACCTAGAATATTCCCATCCTTCACTGAGTTGAGAGATAGTATGCCCCGTAAGAATACAATAAAGCTTCAAGATGCTAGTGAAAATTTCGAAATGAAAGTTCAGAACATTTTAATTCGGCCAACGCGTGAATGCAAGGAGAGTACAAAGGAGACATGTTTGGATTCCTTAGGTCCTACACTGATATTAGACGATATTGATTATAATGGAAGGAACAAAACCGGATATGAGCAGGCAGACGATCATTCAGCTTCATCCACAAAGTCGTCCTATCCCATGCCCAAAGAGTATTATTACTTGTGAAGTTATGCTATTATTTTCGTAGATTTCAATAAAAGAAATTAATATAAATTATTTAAAAAAACATTGTGTATGACAATTAGATATAGAAGAGGATGTTTGGTACTTCAGTATTTATATTTTTAAGGAAGAAAGGTAGATTTTGTGGAGCAGAAGCTTCGTGCAGCTCAATGTGTAGGAGAGAGAAGGATATATAGCATATCTGAGATTCTTTTTAAACTTTTTCAAAATGAAAGTAGAAATATATAAGTTGTATAACACTGGATGGTAACAAATAGTTTATGGAGCTCACTCGGAGCATCCTCATAAGCCAAGAAACTATATACAATATATTGTATGTATATACAATTCTACAGGAGTAGAATTAACAAAGCAAGTTTTCAATAATTTATGAAATAAAAACATTACGCCTCTAAAACAGCACCCCTTACAAGTATATGCACCGATTTACATAACATTTTAATATAATAATATTACATGCACTTCCACTTAATGCCTTCATTTTCCTTAACTTATGTCTTGCTCAAAGGACTTCTGCAAACACACATGTGAGCTGTTAAATATCCTTTCACTCGATTTTAACTACTTGTATTGTCTAAACAGGGATTTGCTTATCGTTCATTGCACTGCGCATAAACGGCCTAACTAAATACCCAAATCAATAATAATCGATGGCTCAGTAAAACGGAAATCCCTCAGCAAGCCTCTACGTATCTTCGCAAATAACTTATTCATTGTTGTGCTATTAAATTAATGCTAAACATAAGGTATAACAGCAATACTTATTTAGATCAATTGAGGTAATACATTCCCATATAGTGTGCATATATGAAGGCGTGTGCGGTCAATGTTTTTAGGAACTTATATAAGGACACGTTATTATTAAGTTAACAGTAAAAGTCAAAATAAATTAACTCAAAGCAAAAATGAAAAATATGTTTTTTTTTTTTTATTTCAATTTTGAATGTATGTGTTGAAAACATAATTATTTCTGCATCAGGATCAGCTTGAAAGCAGTAAAATGTTTATGATATGTTACTCTTCAGAGTTTTGGGGATACTTCTTGGGATATTTTAAAATGGAGGTCGACTAAAAGTAAAAGAATTGTTATTACCTAAGTTGAATGAGAGACTCTCTTCATAGGTTTACGAGTTTCAAAAAATCAAAATTTTTTTGGTGT